GATTGACTCCCCAGTGGGGTTGTGTTGAGGCTGGTGTGTGATGTAGTACGTTCGTGGTTGTGAGTGTGGCTGTTGGTGGGGTGTTGTCTGTTGCTGTGGGTGCGCACTAGGTGGCTGCGGGTGTGGCGTTGCTGGTGGATAGTGATATGGGGTGGGGGGCTGTGGTGTGGGTTGGTGTGCTGTTTGTGTTACCGGTCGAGGTGCAGCTGAGGTTGGAGGCTGCATCATCATGTGGGTGCCGATTGGTGGTTGTGGTGGTGAAGTACATGTGGGTTGTGGTGGTGAAGTACATGTGGGGGTAAGGGATACAGGGGTCGTCTGCTGCAGCACAGGCTGTGGCTGGTGCTGCTGTGTGGATGAAACGGAGTAGCAGCGAAATGCAGTGGTTGGTACACCTGTTGCTGTGCCGGTGGTGGCTGCTGGCACATCTGTTGTTGTGCCGGTGGTGCTGACAGGTGTGCAGGCGGTTGTGCTGCACTGGTGGTTGTATCTGCATGTATTGCTGCAAAGGAGGAGCAGCCATGTGTGGCGGCTGTTGCTGTGGTGTGGGTGGTTGCATAGGCGCCGAAGGTGCAGGCTGATAGAACTGCTGTGTAGGCGGCGCTTGCTGCATCATTGCCGTGCCTGTTGTTTGCTGCATCATCGGCACTTGTTGCATTAACGTTGGGTGAAACTACATCATGAGTGCTAGACTCACACAGCTGTCGTGGTGCTTGAGTTACAGCAAGCGTCCGGTCAACATGCGAACAGGGTTTGGACCATTGGCCTCCCATGCAGACACTTTGCCCTGATGCAATTAGACCTCATGTCAGTGCACATGCGAACCTGCACAAAAGCGGAATAGGGAAGAGTAAAAGTAAGTCAGGAAATAGCCAGCGGAGCAGACCTAGCAGCAGCACATGCCGTCCTGTGCGCATTCAGACACTCATGTCTCGTCCGGACTTGGACAAGAGGGCCTTGAACCGAACTGAACGGTACCTCGGGCCCCATCGGGTTCTCATGAACACATGATGATGAACGAGTGTCGTCGAGAGGGAGAGAATCGGCATCTCCACTGAGGGAGAAAGAACGGATCCCCATGCACGAGGACTGCCTCAAAATGAAACCACCACGGCGCCGTGACAGAAAGCCGTTGTAGCACTCTTGGAAAGTATCTTCTGCACGCGCGGACAGATGCACTTACAGTACATACTCTAGCTGCACTTGCACAAGCCAGCCCACTGCAACATGTGATGAGTCATGGGGGTCGAGCCATCATGCATGTCAGATTGCTGCATGTCAGATTGCGGCAGACGTGCAAAACAGTGATGTACTTGTCTAATCTGGACACCTCAGGGGGCCTGTCCTCAAACTAATCTTGGCACCACAGGGGGCTGCCATGCAGGTACACAGGACTGATCAGGTCCAGCTTCCCACTTGCATCCACAGCTTCGTTTAGTGTGGTAGGATGCAAGTGCGACACTCCCCCGCAAAAAAAATGACCTGAGAAAACATGCTGCAGAAATCATGATTGGGTTGTGAGCCCCTTACCTCATGTACGAGAGGAGTTCACACACACACACACAGACACACACCGACACATACCGACACACACACACGCACACGCCCGCACACACACGGGCGCACGCAGACAAGCGTACACATGGACAGACAAATAAACACACATACAGACAAAGACGGAGAGCCAAGCTGGCAGAGGAAGAAAAACAAGTAGAAAGACAGACAGACAGACAGACAGACAGAGAGACAGACAGAGAGACAGAGAGACAGAGAGACAGAGAGACAGAGAGACAGAGAGACAGAGACAGAGACAGACAGACAGAGAGACAGAGACAGACAGACAGACAGACCGACAGACAGACGGACGGACGGACAGACAGGAAGACAGGCAGAGGATAGACCTTCACAAAGCTACCTAGACCGGGATTTGAAAAACCGGCAGCTCAGATGAACAGTAGGACCGACCAAAGTTTGACTGCAAAGAATCCGACGTGTTGAGCGTGAATCACGATACCAAGCAGAGTAAGGCAGGCTGGCTGTCCAAACCGGGACTGCTTACATAGCGGAGCCTTAGCAGAGCCCTTGCTGAGCAGAGCTCTTTCACATGTGCACACACAGAGATAACCAACCAAACAAGCAACCAACATTCACACTGATGCTTTACTCTATGTATGTACCAGCTGTGCTTCATTGTAGTTGTAGCTGCAGTAAGCAAATTACCTACGTGATGATCTAATATGTTCCGTACACCAATTGCCGTTGGATCATGCTCGGTACCATAGTACGACAAAGCTTGCTGCATGTGGCGTAGCATTTCACTCCACAAAAGGCAATCACTTCCGAAACAGGCAGCCGCAGTACACATCTGAAGCACCCACGCCGCCGGCACCAGCGTGTCATGATGGGTCATGTCACACTCAGCTTAGAAGTGCATGAGATTGGACCGTCCCGGTCAGACCTGGACCGGCCGCGCCAGAACCGGACGTTGGGCCCGTTGGGCAGGAATGGCGAAGGCTTGGTCGTCACTGAACCCGCAGACCCTGTCAGCGATCGAGGCTTCAACGTGCACAGCTTCGTATCTCAGCTTTTTTGAGGTTCTGCACAGTTTGAGTAGCCTGTCAGCCCACCGACACAAGAGGCTTGCTCTCATGCAGTGTGAAGCTCTTAGCATTCCTTGCAGACAACAGTTGCGTAAGTAGCAACATGCTTGACCTGAAACCGTGCCAGGGAAGTCGTCCAAGTGAATCTACCACCATGTGCAAGACGCAAACCAAAAGAGTGCAACAGGGTGATAGTTTCATGAATGCTCACATCTAGCCTCTTGCAGTGTAGTAATCACGCAGCGGTGCGTTTTCAATGGAGTCTCGAACGGAACACCGACCAGCTCCCCGAAAACACGACTCACCATAGACAATAGGTTATGACGAGAAATTGCTGCCATGCCTTGCCAGACGTTGAAACCAATGCTGCTTGGACAGGTAAGCCTCGCACTCTTGCGCAAACGCAACCCTTAACCCCAAACGCATCATAGCTTGAAAGGTCGCGATCAAGCCTTGTGACCGGAAGCGATCTCCTTCTCAGTATGACATGGCAGGAGCAGTGTACAAAGACTCCGACTTACTCCGAATGCAAAAAATCTGGGTGCCTTCTTGATGAAGGCGCACTTTTGCGCCCGGTAGTCCTGCCGAACTGGCGCCCGTACAGTAGGCCTTCACTTCACTTGCCTACCTGGACCCTTCAATCCTCGGCGGAACTGTCCTGGGCGGAGCCCACCGCAACGAAGGCAAGGGCTAAGGAAAACCGCCACATCCCCGTCCTTGGATTGGTGGCGAGGCTCTGACTCACTCGCAGCTGTCGTACATCTCCGCGATGTTTCGACTGCGCCAGAAAAGTCCAAATCATGCCTGGCCCTGGCCTGTTGCTGACGTGCGGCTTTGGCTCCCGGAAGTTGCAAACCGCGGATGTCTTCTCCCCGCTTCAGAAAAGGCAGCGAGCAGATGTGAGCAGGCAAAACGACAAATTACAGATCGCCACATGCCGTGCCCCAACCGAGCGCAACAAAGCGGCTCGAAATGCAGGCATACAAAAAGAGCTGCAGGGCATGGCACGGTGGAACAACAACTATCTGAAGATCGTCATGTGCCGATCCGAGAACGGGGGCAGATGCAACGCAAGAAGAGCAAGAACGTCGGAACACATGAGCTTTTCGTAAGCAGACACAAGACAGAAAAGGTTGAGGCAGACCATCGGGTTCGGTGTTAGCTAAAGCTACTGAGAGGCAGCTCGACTCCGCTCGAAACGAGCCTGTCAACGCAGGCTCGAACGACATGTGCTACCCAGGAATCCAAACCTTTTACTGACCACACGGGCCTGCAAAGCACGCACTGGAAAGCTCACTTGATGGCTCTTTGCTCACTGTACAGTTGGGCAATGCCCGAAGTATGAAGCGGCATGATGATTACGGATGCACCATTACTGCTCCAGCCACAGCTTCTCGTTCCCGTCTATGGTGTGAAACTTGCGAGCAGGGATATCACTGCCAGCTCTCTGTGCGGTGCTTCCAACCGACGGCAGGAAAGCATCAAGTTGTGGCTGTACTTCGTGAATGCCTAAGGAAGAATCAGCTACGAGGAACTGTCGCTGGAGCTGGATGCTTTCCTCTTCTTGGATTTGGAAGCCTGGCAAAACATTCCAAGTCATCCTCCGGTGCAGCTGAACCCCCTAATTGCGTTCTTCCAACAACCGTTGAACAGAGCCTCGACTGCTTTCGCCAAAAGCTTCTTCTCCTTCAATGCCTTCTTCTCCTCGTGCACTTCTCAAACTTGCAACAGTCGCAGCCTTTCGTAACAGCGTTCGGCCAAGCCTTCTTTGCAGCCTTCTTCTCCATTTTTTTAAGCTTCTTTTCTGCCTCGGCATCAGCGGACTCATGCCAACAGCTCACACATCTCGTCCTAAGTCTGCTCCTTTCCACATGCTCTGGCCAACAAAGAAGGCCTTTCTTAGCTTCTTGTCTTTCTTGCTGGCAGCTTTGTCCTTCTTGTCGTTCTTCTGGTCGTCTTCAGACCTTCCACGCCAGCATTACCCGCTTGAATTTCTGAGGACCGTAGTGCCGTAGTGTTTTAACAAATGCGCTTGGACCTCCGCGCGACTTCGTCTGCATCCTTCGCCTCGAGCGTCGAACCCTCACTGCGTCTGTGTGTGAAGAACGGATGCCAACAGCTCCTCTCGTCTTGCACTGAGCAGACGTGCCAAGCATCTACATGCAGGGCATCAGGTTGAGGTACAGCATGGTGCACACTGCAATGCCCGGTCAACCCTGTTTTCCGCTGGTGACACTCTGCTGCCACAGCGAAGCCTCATCTCCGCGCTGGAGAGCTCACATGATTCGGCAAGGATGCCACGCGGAGCACACCAACGGGATGCAGTTGAAGCTCAACGCCTTATTGGCGATGCGATGCAAGTCACACAATAAATCCTGCTTCAGTTCTTGGGGGTCGGCTTTACTTTCGTCTGAACCACTTGCGCTCCCAGTCAAAGAGGATATCCCCTTTAGCGGCCCCGAGCGCCATGGCCTGTTGAAGCACACCGACGACCCGGGGTGCATCCACGTGAGTCACGTGAGGCTCCATCCAGCTTTTGAAAGCAAACTTGTACAACGGAAGCAAGGGCTTGTTTGCAGGCCTTTCTGGACAAGGCTTCGGCTAATCGGCTTACCATGTGACGCTTCCCAACGTCTCAGGCCAACTGTGGGGTGAGGCAACAGATGCTGGCAGGAAAAAAACCGGAAACCCGGGAAGAAGGAGCATAAGGTGGACAATGATATATGGTCTCGGGTCCCGGGCCGAAACACCCCCCCCAATGGTATCCCCCCCCCACTCCCCCTGCTGCCCTGCTGCTCGCCCACCCGCCCCGGCCCGCCCCCGGCCCGCACCCGGCCCGCACCTTGCCCGCCCCTTGATCTTGTGCGCGGATCGGAAGTGTCGCACTATGCCCTGCCGTGTGCGGAAAGCGGCAATCGGCGCAGTAGTTTCCAGCATCTGACATGAATTGCAATGCTGAATTATGAGGGTTGTGTGGCGATGGTGATGGTGGCACATATTCTTTTGAAGGTATTAATGATGAAGATGACGACGACAAGGATGATGTTGAGCATGGTCTGATTGTCGACTCATGTCCCGGTCTAGAGCGGCACAACATCATGAGCAGTATCACCGGTGCCACAGCAAGAGGGAAGACAAGGAGTAACACATAAGAACGTCGCGGCAAAAAGAGTACCACCATAGGCCCCACACCACAGGGGGGGCGGGGGGAAGGGGGGAGGATACCATGGGGTGGGGGGGGGGAGGGGGGGGTGTGGCAGCCCTGATCATATATAGTCCAACAAAATGCTTCCGGGCACAAGTCACCTACCGGCTCTCAGCCTTGCATATTCCCAAAAATTAATTAACCTACGTACGACCAACATGAGCTTGTTGCAGGCGCAGCAGCTTGTTTGTCCGGACATGTGTGCAGAGAGTGTAGATCGGACCATGTGGACGCGGACATCGCATGTCTCTCACGGCACGCTCATTGGCTCATATCCTCCAGCGCCCCCTCCTGACCCTCCGCCACCCTGCTCCCGTGTGTGGCTTAAACCGGGTCTAGTTGGCAGCTGGAACTGTGCGCACGATTGTGTACGGAAAGAAACACGAGAACCAGCTGCAAAATTGTAAAAGCACAAGTCGTGCTCTTCAGGCTACCGGAAGGGCTAAGGGAGGCTCGGGAGGATCTACACGCTTCCTGTGGAACTGCAGCTCGATGCGGCTCCACACCTAAATCATCTCTGGCCTCGGCTGTACTCCCAGTGCTGCTGGAAACAGTGCTTGCAAGGCACTTTTCCCACCTGAATTGCCCTCCTGACCGTCACACGTGTGGTCCGGCGGTAGCCATGGGAGGAGATCAAAACCAACTCAACAAGCTCTTGCTCGGGGAGGAAATGCTTTGCATCTCGTAGGAACCTCCCTCGCTCACGGGCCTGCTCGATCTTGTGGTTGGCGCTTGTCCCGGAAGTAGAGGAAACTGGAAGCGCTGCCGGAGGTGTGGTCGATGAGCTCGCTCCCGAGGTCGTGGTTCCCGAAGGCCGTGCCTCAACTCCCAGCATTGGCATTGCATTCGCCGCCATCCAGTCTTGAATCCTTTGTGCAACCTCCGGGTCGATGGTTGCTGGCTGCTCTGCCGCAGCCGGCTCAAGCCCTAAGCCAGCTGTCGCCACTGCGCCCGTGGGCTCATCGGGCTCTCCGTAGTTGATCCCCTCCTGGCTGCCGTGGTAGATCGCCTCCTCGTTGGTGGTCGCGTTCTGGTCCTCGTTGGTGCTCGCCTTCTGGTCCTCGTTGGTGGTCGCCTCCTGGTTCCCGTTGGTGGTCGCCTCCTGGTTCACGTTGGTGGCCCGCTTGCCTTTTCCTCGTCCTTTGTGTTGGGGCGCTCTCTGGGCTCGGTGCTCGTTGCCCTCCACAGGCATCCTTGAGCGCCGCCCCATCCACCAAGCCATGGCCAGCAAGCCCACAAACCAAAAGTAGCGCACCGCGACCACGACGACCAAATAGATCAGCGAGGCGAGGTCCTCGAAGCGCTCGTTGGGCCCAGCTGGCCCGAACTCGCACCCCTGAAGGGTTGTGGCAGCCAACAGCTGCACCAGCCGCACCACCACAACATTGTTCCGATCTCCTCGTCCTGCTCGCCGCGCCGTCGCCTCCCGGAACTCGTTCTGGCCTATGTGCTCCCCGTTGTCGTGGACCAAACCCACCAGGTAGCACAACAGCCACAGCACTTCGTCCCGAGGTCGGCCGGGTTGAACTCCGTCGGGACCGCCAGCACTTTAAGAAGGTGCTGCGCCACCCATTGCTGGATCCACAAGCACGAGGTCTGTAGGTGCCTCACTCTCCCGACGCCAAGCCTTGAGGCTATTGCCCGTGCCACCGAAGAGTCGGACCGCATGATCAAGGTGGCCTCCTGCTGCACCAAAAACTCCCAAGCCTTCTTGACCAAGATGCACTCGGAGCTGGTTTGCGTCAGCGCCACCAGCTCGGCTTCTCCGCTGCTCAGGGTCACCACCTTTTGTCCACGGACAAAGGAATACGCGAGGGCTTGGCCGATGAAGATCTGGCCCGATGACAAACTCCGCCTGGTAGTTCGGTCATTCGCGAAGTTGCTGTCCGAAAAGCCCTCGATGAGGTGGCTCTGCTCTTCGCCTCCTGGGCCTCCCTGGTGGTCGCCCGTCAGCTGCATCACTGACCGGCCTGCTGGGTGGAGCTTCAGCTTTACGCCATGCCGCAGGAGCTTGGCCGCCTGGCAGTCCGGCCGTTCCGCCGACATGTAGAGAAGCTTCCCCAGCATGGTCCGGTAGAGGGTCGCCTCCCCGGGGCGTTGGTGGTGTCTGGGTCCGGGTGTGCTCCTCTTCTTGGGTCGGCCGGGCAGCTCGTAGAGGTCCTGGTAGAACCGCGTGGCCGCACTTATCGTGATCGAGCTGTCGGGCTTGAACTGGTGGCGTCGCCGCAGGAACTCATACATGTCCCCCGGCAACTGGAAGGGCCCACTGACCTTCACCTGGTACTTGTTCTCCAGGGTCTTCTGGATCTCCGCCTGGATCGGGGGCCCCGGTGCTGGTGATGTCGTCGACGTGGATCTCTGCCACGTCGCCGCTTAGGTGGTAGAACCACTTTTAATTTTGTGATCCTTGCCTTTGCCCTGGCAGCACCCGAACACCTCGGTGTGGGTGATGGACATCAAGGACGCGTTTCTGCAGGTGGAGCTGGAGCAGCCTGCCGACGAGCCCGTCCTTGTTACCTCCCCCCAGGTCCTACACGGCAAGGTTCGGGCAGGCACGCCAGTGGAAACTAGGCCCACTGCTGCGACAGCAGCAGCACCACGGGTTCCGCTGTCCTCGTCTCGCGCTTCTTTTGGCGGGTCGGCTTCTCAACAAAGTCCTTGTTCCAGGGCCAGCCAACGTAGCCACGATCCTTGATCTGGTCGGCCGTCAGCTGCTGGTCCGGGGCCGCTCGCCGAACAGAGGCGCTCTGGATGTGCCCGTAGACCGTCATGAGGTTGTTGGCGCCGCTGTGGGGGTTCATCCCCACCCATATCGCCTTGACCCATCTGGGTTCCGCTTTGTTGGTCCGGAAGACCTGCCGTAGACGGTGTCCCCGAACTCGCAGAGCTTCTGGTCGAAGCGTTTCCCTCCAAACGCGATCTCGCACGGGGTCTGCTGCAGCCCCGGTATCACATGAAACCTGTTGTGCACGAACGCTGCGTGCACCTGGCTCCACAACTTGAGCGGGGTGTCCGGCGCCAGCTTCCCTTTCTGCAGCTCTGCTCGGCCAGGCTGCGGTTCGCGTCGAACCGGATGCCGGCCAGCTGTGACATCAAAGCCAGCTGTCGCTGCCGCAAAGCCGGCTGCATTTCTCCCACCAAGACCCTCCAGGCCTCGAACCCATTGTTCGAGGGCACCCCTCTCACAAGCTTCGCCGGTCGCTGCCTCACAAAGGAAAGCAGGATGGCTTAGAGCTCGATGCTGCGCTTGCGCACTGCAGCATCCATTCCGTCCACTGTCGAGGGCCTTGTCGGGGTCTTCTCGATGGTCTCCATGTCCTCGAGCATCTTGGTGTCCACCACCGACAGGTAGTTCTTGATCATGTGCTTCCACTCGCTCCACTGCTCCACTTCTTGCTCTTTTCCAAAATTGCTGAAAGCAAAACATTCGAGCAAAGTTATCGCCATAAATAACTCCGCAATATATGTAATATAAAAGATTCGAATCCCACATAAGGAGCAAGCTCATCACAAGAGACGGAATGCAACATCGGATGAGCAGACTTTTCCTTGGATGTGCAATCGTAGCGCTGTGCTCTTACGAGGGAGGCCCGAGTGACCTTTGGTCAGGACCCCCCCCCGTTTTCAGGAAAACACCCCTCCCAAGCGCGAAAAGAATCTTAAAGGGTGGGATGGGCGGGAACAAAAAACATTGCCCCACCTCCGGGCTCGAGCATAACTGATATGAAGCAAAGATGTCAATCGTCCAACACGATTCAAAAGGGCATGACGTGAGCATGCAAAACCTAGCATGCAAAAAGAGAATGCTTCAAGCAATGGAAAATAACAAAATCATTGGTTTCAAAAGAGGCCCACCCTACCAGCCCCTTTCATGATTTGGAAAATGCCTTTGGGCAAGCCCAAGAAGCTTTTCCAAAATTGCTGAAAGCAAAACATTCGAGCAAAGTTATCGCCATAATTAACTCCGCAATATATGTAATATAAAAGATTCGAATCCCACATAAGGAGCAAGCTCATCACAAGAGACGGAATGCAACATCGGATGAGCAGACTTTTCCTTGGATGTGCAATCGTAGCGCTGTGCTCTTACGAGGGAGGCCCGAGTGACCTTTGGTCAGGACCCCCCCCCACAGGCGAGGGCCAACCTTCAGCCCCACTTGGTTTTGTCATACTTAACCTTCCGCTTGCGAAGAGAAGATGGGGCACTGCATACTCCCCTCTGACTCCAGCTGGAGACCTCATCATGATGCTGAGACAACTTCCGGAG